AGCGTGCCCGGAGGGGAGCGGCCGTTCATTAGGGGTCGGTTCATCAGCAGGGAGAGGAGCAGCGGCTCATTAGGGGCCGGTTCATCAGCACTGAGAGGAGCAGGGGCTCATTAGGGGCCTGCTAATCAGCACTGAGAGGAGCAGGGGCTCATTAGGGGCCTGCTAATCAGCACTGAGAGGAGCAGGGGCTCATTAGGGGCCTGCTAATCAGCACGGGCGCTCGCTGAATGAAGTCACGTTACAGTTTCTTATTAATAAAAAACCCCCAGGACCCAGCAAGGCGACAGCTCTCTTGAGCGAAGGGCTGTGACAACGGGCTGGGGTCACTCCGGCAGCACGAACCAAGACGAACGCCAGTGGTGCCGTATCAGGAGATGACAACTGACGATAGAACAGCGGAAAAGGGCTGCACCCTTGGGGGGCTGCGGGGGCTGGAAAGTACCCACAGTGCCTTGGCAACAGCCCCCGACGACACCGAGCACCCACAGCTCCCAACGCCTGGCTGCACGTTCACCCTTTAACGTTTTTTCAGTTGATAAGCAAAGAGAAACATTCCTCCAGATCTTTTTTCCCTACCTCTCGGCAGAGACCTCCACGCAGCAGAAGGTTCACCCCTTCCTCGCAGAGCCTTTGGGCAGAAAGAAATAGAGTGTTTCCAACCCTAACACCACAGCTGAACTGGGGCACCTGCTGCGGTTAAGAAGGCTCTGGGATAACGAGAGGCACCTGAAAAACACAAACACAGGCTAAGAAGGCTCCGGAATAACAAGGGGCACCTGAAAAGGCAAACACACCCTGGACAGGTGAGCCCTGATGCAGGACTTGATGGTGGAACATCTCCCCCAGAAGGCAGGCAGCTTGTGCCCCGGCTAGCTGCCGATTCATTGAACACCAATCTTGTTAGGTAGATGTTTAAAATTAAAAGCGTTATATCCACAGTCGCGTACAGACAGCCAGGTGTTTGGCTCGCCAGGAGAAGCCTGAGTTTAAGACAAAGATTCTCCTAAAGTGCCGACACTTATATTGTCTCACGGCAAGGCCCAACGGACCAGCGGCGCTGGAGCAGCGCGGTGGCAGTCGGTTTTGGCCAGGGAGGAGTAAACGGAGTTTGGTTGTGGCCCAACGCATGAAAACAATCAGCTCAACAGTGGCGGGATCCTTGCTGCCGGGGATGCAGAACAGTCACTATCGTCACAGGCACTGATGGAGCTGTAACTCAAACCGGCTTGATAAGGAAAGACAAAATGTAAATGAGTTTTATGTCATTTAAAGTCATTCCTCCGACCACAGCCGTTGTGCCTCCAGGTTCTCTGGAACCTCTCTAATCGGCCTGGGGCAGCAAGGAGCAAACGCAACCTGGTTCCTCTCGGAGGCCCGAACAACATGTTCCCCCATTCTCACACTGACACCGCTGGCTCCTACCATGCCACTTGCTTTTATTGTTTACGTTTTTAAGTCAATTTATCATGGCCCATCAAGTGGGTAATGGCTGCCCTGAACACACAAGCCCCTTTCACATCTCCCCCAGACAACTCCACAAAGGAAACATTCACTGAAGAGCGGACCATGAATAACCCCTCATTGAAAATAGCTGCTCGCTAAACAAGCCAAGGAAGGAGACAATGAGCCCTTTGAGAGCAGCCTCGGGAGGTGGGCACAAAGGAAACGCCAGTTAGACACATCTACCGTGAGCACAGACCCCTCTTCTCCCCCTCCCCAAGCGACCCAAAGGGTAAATCGAACGTCAGAGTCCAGGAGGTCCCCGCTGCGGGCTCTGCTCAGACATCTGCTCTCTCAGTCTTTGATATAACGCAATCGCTCGACACACGCGGCAGTCGGAAACGCCGCGCCGCAGTCCGAGGCGACAGAACAGCACCAGCCCATAGCGTTGGATCGCGTCACGCCCCACGACACGCCAGGTTCGGCAGCCACCCGGGCTTCAGAAGCGACTGGTGACAAGCAGGCGTGGACACGTAGGGCAGGATGCGCCTTCCTGGCGCCAGGAGCGGAGCTACTGCCGGTCACCAGCTCCAGATTAAGGCTGAGCCTGTTACAATCGGATTATTTTTATTTTGGGGAAGATTTCCCTCTCACCCCGCAGCAACCCCTACAGCTGCAGGGTGCCGATGTTAACGGAGGAGTCATCAGTTGGACTGAAAAAAGATCCGTAACTCAGGATTCATCTGTGTGCTGAATGTAGATGCTTAAAATTAACCTTCATACTCTTCCCACCGGCACACCCTCAGGACAGGTGACAGGGCTCAGTCCCAGAGTGGAATTACCCGAATTCCAGAAACTAAGGGCCACACAGATCCAGAAAAGGCTTTATTGGGAATGTGTAAGGTACAGTGTTGCACACTCTGGATTCACACTGTATTTTAAACCGAGTTCAGGACCCAGGTACGCCAGAACACGGGCTCTCCAGCCACCAGGATCAAGTGGCTGTGTGTTACACGCAGCGTTAGCACCCGCTTGCTGGACCGCAGGACCCCGCCACCGTGAGTTAAGCCAGACCGACGTGCAGAGGGCATTTTCCCATGTTAACAGCGAGGCTTTGCGTATCAGCCGTGGTCCCCAAGGGACCGCAGAGCAGGTCGGCAGGCTCGCTCCCCTCTCCTCACGCGCTGGGGGCATACTGCATGGCCAGCCGGTCAAAGTCGTTCTCCTTCAAATCAGAAACAAAATGAACAAATGTTTACTGAAAATTTAATAAAACCTGCACTAGCTGAAGAGAATGCTACTGTCACAGCTCACTATGACTAAAGGAGTTCTAAGAAGCAAGATCCTCTGTATCAGTTCTCAATTTTTCTCACTTCATTCCATTTTCCCTTCGCTATTACCTTTATCCTTCCTCCCCCCTCCCCGAATTCTCTCTTCCAGAAGGATGTTTCCACTGTTTAAGCACAGTGTCTGATGGTAACAAGCTTCTGACTCGGCTTAAGAACCTGTACCACAGAGCTATTCTTTCACGATGTTACCAGGTTCGGGCACATCACCCCGTTGTTTAACACCCGGCTCGTGTTTCCCAACATCTCTCACCAGGGCTAGAAAATCTGCTGGCAAGTGATGTGACAGCGACAGAACGAGGACCTGCCCCCTCAGAACTGCAGTCACATACTGGTAAAGCATCCGCTCGCCCCATCAGACACTGGTATGAGGCATTATAAACTCAATTTTATACGAGAAAGTAATTAGTACCTTTGCCTGATACTCCTTTATGAACGGATGATTTTTATGCGCGTCTTTCAACTGGGACAAATAGCGATTCGTAACCTGATGGGATGAGATAAACCTTGAGATAACGAGGAGAAGCCAAGAGTTTAAAACATCACACTTCAACGTGTTTGCTTGCAGTGAGTAAGGACCTGATTTTCCCAGTGTCCTGAATGTTATCGGCACCAATTTAAACCAGTAAGACCTGTGCATACACTGCACTTAAAAATTAGACCTTAAATAGTCGGTTCAAGACAACAATCAATCAGTGAGAACTGAACTTGGGACTCCAGAGACTATTTCTTCCGCCCACACCTTCCTCTCAGGTATACACCATTATCTCCATCACCTGTAATTCCACAAACACTACTGAATATCGAAGATGCGAGTTCCCTGCACCCCAGAACTGTTCTATTTTGTTAATGCCAACCCTGTGGAGAACACGTACAATTACAAACCCAGGTAAAGCTACCACGTGTGCCAGGAACGCCCCGCCTGCCCGCAGCAGCGGGAGCAGGCTGTCGGTTTCTGCTTGCTGAGCACAGGAAAAGCAGCCTCACCTCTGGTGGTTTGCCCAAGTGCTGTGACAGGACGACAAGGTTGATCAGGGTCTCAGGATGGCCGCTGTCCTGGAAACAAGGACAAGCACCTGGTCTATCCGACTTACCGCTGCCAGGACTACGCGTCACAAGCGGCACAGCTCTGCGGGAACAAGCTCTGCCAAACCCACAGCTCGCTCTACTGGAAAAGGCAAAGTAGCAAGCAAGGGAGGTCTTAACAGCAACCGCCCTTAGCGATATGTATCAACATATTGGTATTTTCATAAAGGTTAACAGTGAAGTCCTCGCTGTTTCACTCTTATGTGCCCACAAGAGCAAATCGGCCTGGCAAAACCAGAAAGCACCTTGTCCAGCGCCTCCTGAAGCACTCCCTCCGAATCGTCCCACTTGCCCTGCGCCATGTAGCAGGCTGCTTGTCCGTTAAGCAGGAGGAGGGTGGAGGAGCATTTGTCTGCCATCTCTTGGAAGATGTAATAGGCATCTTGCAGCTTCTCACCGCCCTGCAAAGGGAGGAGACAAACACCCACAGCTTCATTACACGTTGCTGAGAAGGCTGTACCTTCTTGCCATGGTGGAAGGACTAGGCACAACGTTTGTTTCCAGGGTTATAAAGCACAGGTACGCAATGCATGAGAAACAATGCTAACAGCTGATGGCAGTCCTGGGGTCTCCTGCACCACAACAGATCGCTGTCAGACCGTAGACAAAATAAATGCAAAAATATTAAGAACCCCTTAAATGAACAAATGATCCAGGCTTCCACTCAAAAAGAAGAAAATATTTCAAAAGAACCCCTTCAGCTGCTTGATGTAATAAAGGATTCTGACATGAGATTTTGATGATGAAACGCAGGTATGGACACCTGGCTTTTCACAAAGTTCCAGCTCCAGAAAGGTTCTACGTGCAGGGGCTTCCACCAGTTAGAGGTGGGTTCCCTTGTGGAAACCAAGATCTTAACAAGCATCTAGCCGCACACCATTGCAAGGCGGGGGCTATGCATGAGAGATTTCGCAACAAAACCAAGTGAACGCCGAAAAAGAAGTCTTCACAGTCTACCAGGTTATTGCACGCACAACCTGGGACTTCACTGAATTTTAGGAGACTACTTATTATCTGGGCTGCCAAACAGTGCATGTTTTTGTCTGATTCACAAACACGCTTAAAGCCAGTCTGCTCAGAGAATTACATTTCTTTCTTGGAGTTTAACTGCAAGCTCTGGCTGCCAGTAACACTGCAGCTTTCCATTTTATGTTATAACACTTTGTGAATTATTTAAGCACGGTTTAGTGCTTCCCTGTGTGAGCCCAAGGCTAAGGAGCACAGATGAAAGACGTCAATCAAAACAGCCAGTCAGTTTGCGAAGCCAGCTGCCAATATTCTCCGTGTACTCGAAAGAAGCGGGGAAAAAAACCCAAACCAACAGAAAACCTGCCTGCTTTCCTGAAAGCATGATGTGAAAAGAGCAACCGGGAACAAGCTACAGGGTGGTGTTTCTCAGACGCTGTAGGCTAGGGATCCCCGTTTAAGGTACTCACTACGGCCAGGTTCACCCAGGCAGTGGCCAGCTGAGTAAGAGTCGCATCCTCGTCTTGCTCCTGCATTTTCTTAAGCTCCTTGCTGCAGAAGCAAAAGTGGGAGTCACATAACGGAAAGACGAAGCAGCTTCTGCACTTCTTTAACATACAGACAAAATGTTGTAGTCTCCTCTCTCAGCTCTTCCATCACTAGAGCACAACAGCTGCAGCGAGCTGTAACGTGGCACAAACAACTCTTAATATTTCTCTGAAACAATCTGTGAAAGACCTCCCAGTTCTACCTCCTGGCGGGAAATTAGAAACCCAGGACTAGAGATTCAAACCACGTTCTGCCGAAGGGAAGATTAAGCCTAGAGGTCCAGCTCTTCCTTTACTTGTATGTGGCTCTACTATCCCCACAGCTTTTCCAATCTGGAGAACACAAACGCTCTGCAGCACGCCCACACCTACACACAAGTTCTTCTGCCCACTGCAGGTGTCAAAACGCTGCACCCCGGGGAGGGCGGCTGATGAAAACTCTCCTAACGAGGCGCACCCCGCAAGAGCACCATTAAGCAGCAAAGGGACACAAACCTACCGGGCCAGATCGAGCCTGTCGAGCTTCAGAAGGATCTGTATCATCATGGCCATGCTGCAACGAAGAAGAGCAAAGTGATTTTCACCACTGCAGGCTTCACCGCTCCCTGCGCTTTGCCCGGGAGCCTGCTGCTCGGCAGAGAGACGTGCTGCCGGCGCCAGGGACGAGCCTCCCTGTGCAGGGACCAGCGGAGCAGGTGGTTCCCAGAGCAGGACCCGAAATGGGGAAGCTTGGCCCTAGCTCCCAAGTGCCCCCTCGCCGTATTGACAGTTTTGCTCGCTTCAGCAATTCTGAACACACACGAATCGATACATCAGGTTCTTAAGTTCCACAAGGGAGCAACAGACTTGGCGTTATAGGACGAGCGCCAAATCATTTGCTACTCTGAAAGCAAACCTCAAAGCAGTTTCTCAATGGTTTCAAGGCTTTTTAGAGGGAAGCCAGGCCTCAGCCATTTTTACGGCACCTCTCCAGAGCCACGAGAGAGGCTCTGCTAGCACACATCCCCGCGACACCAAGTGAGCCGCGCTTACCATTCCAGGCTCTCCCCTTGATGCAGGGTACGCAGAGCTGCGTCAGGATTTTTGTCGTGGAAATAGATGGAAGCAGCCATCAGCAAGAAAGTAGTATTGGCTACATCAACACTTTTTGCCATTTTCTTGTCCAAATCGGCAATGATTGCATCCCTGTGAAGAGCAAGGGGGAGAATTTGGGAGTGTTTCCTTACTAAGCCAGACAAACAGATCCTGCCCCCACAGAAGTCTCCCTTGTTGGAGTTCACTGCAAACCCACAGCAAATCACAATAAAGACCACACCTCTACAACAGGCTTTTCATGTGGAAATATACTCCCCGTTAGACAGGGCTCGAGTTCCAACTTGCTATCAGGCTTACCTTTGACTCTCATTGGAGAGATATTCTGCAAACATCCTCACTGCTTGGAGCTCAGGGCTCGCACTGGCTTTGATTTCATCCAGGACAACACCGTATTTTCTCTGTTGAAGGCAACAAACACAAACCTGTGACTTACTAATTTCTCACAATGTGGGAAATAATTGCTTGCTTTCTAAAACCTCAGTTAAAACAACAACAAAAGCAGAAACAGCAGATTTCTAGTTTATGTCTCACATCACACTTTACAAACGTGGTCATATTCCGTGACCCTGAAGAGGATTGTTTGCCCATTTGCCATCTTAAAAATAAAAAAGCACCTCTCGAAGAGGTCTCACCGGGCCATCCCAACCCCGCACACAACACGCTGCAGTCGCGTTGCTGTCAGGGAATGCGTTACGCCACAGCGCTGAAGGAGGAATTATCACCGAATGGTGCGGTGCCGGACTCGGAGGACTCGGACTCGCAACCCCCCCGGCTCCAGCCCCGCACTTGTGGCCTCACCTGGGCGATGTAGGCTCGGAACAGGAAAACGTCCCTCTCCACCTCCTTCTCCGGACTAGACGGCTGCAGGGAGGGCAGGAAACAGGAACCTCTCTCAGGGACCCGCGCAGTCACAACCCGACCCCGCAACAACACACG